CCATTGCACTGAGGCTAAGACACCCGGTCTTTTTGGGGCCCTTTTCCCTTCCTCTCTTCTCGCCTCTTCAGGTGACCTCCATTCCCGAATATGCCTTCAAAGGCTGCAGCGCCCTGGAGACCTTGGAGCTCCCCAGCTCTTTGACTCACATCGGCACGGGCGCCTTCAGCGGGTGCAAGTCCTTGGTCTCCTGCACCATCCCCAGCTCGGTGAAGCAGCTGGGACGGGGAGCCTTCATGTGCTGCTTGGAGTTGAGCAAGGAGGTTTTTGGGCAGTTTTCGGGGAGTAGAGAAGACGAGCAGACATCTAGACTTCTTTCTTGTAGATCAGGAGTTTCAGAGCGGCGCCAGAGTCGGTGCGAAAAGGCTTTGAACTTCCGTTTTTGGGCCACAAAGGGATCTACCAAGCTTCGAGCCTCCTAAATCCTTAGGGAGATTGAAGTTGTTGGGGGAAGCTGGGTTTTTTCCACACTCCCTACAATCCACGGTGTCCCTGCAGAGTCTACTGGAACTAAGCAGGCCATGAGCCACACGCCACCCAACCCATGGAATCATATGGAGTTGGGCCGTTCAAGCCCTTGTCTTGTTTTGCTTTGGTGATCTTTTGCTTTTGTGTGTGCTGCACGGATATTCGGTTTCACGTGTGCATTCGGTGGATTTGTTGCAGCTTCTCACTTTCTTCCATTTTCATATGCAGTGGACATGCACCCAGAAGCTCAGTGGACACACCCCCAGCACAGAAATCTGCACGGCCGTTCGGACGTGCGCCAGAAAAATAAACGAGCAGGTGAACCAACGTCTCCGGATTTGGACCCCATCATCCCAAGAGATACCAAAAGAGGTTAAGTGACCTTATAGGACCCTACTGGGGTACCGAACTGGGATAGTCTATAGGGTCACTCAACCTGTGTTGGTATTTCAAGAAAGAGACAGATCTCATCCTTCCACCCATGGCAGCTGAGCTTCTCATGCATGGAGATCCTTTGCCAAACCTGAGGGATCGTGAGGGCTCCGGATCTCAGATTCCACCACCTTTCGGCCATTCCAGGCTGCCTATCCCTTCGCTCCGTGTCCATCTCCACCTCCTTGACGTGCCTGGCGCCCGACACCTTCCGCCGCTGCGGCGGGCTGACGGAGGTGTCGATCCCGCGCGCGGTGACGAGCATTCAGAGCGGGGCCTTTGAGGCGTGCAGCGGTCTGAGGAAGGTGCAAATCCCGGAGCAGGTGGGGCGGGCCAGGCTGTGCGGGGCGGGCAGGCCGTGGGTGCGTTTTCGGGGCAGCCCGTGGTTGGGGGGTTTCCCCAGTGAAGGCCATTGGCAGTTGAAGTGGGTTTTTTTGGGGGGCACTTTTGGGAGGTGGTGGTGGGTTAAGGGTTAAGAGTGATGTGGATTTGATCGTCACGGTTCCGGTGTTTCGGTGGGACTTTTGACTATCCCTGAGGTCATTTGTGTGGGTGATCGTGCCTTTGCCAACTGCACGTCCTTGGAGCTTCTGGAGCTCAAGGGGAGGACCACACAGGTGGTGTGCAGTGCGCTGGAGGGTTCTCCGGCACGAGTGGAATCGGTGCCAGTGCAGGGTCCTGAGTGAAGAACGCATCAGGCCCAGCGGAATTGCTTGGAGGGGGAGCTTGTGTACAGAAAACAAGCCGACCTCCAAGCGGCATCCAGGATGAAATCGATGAACTCTCTCAGGCCTAGCAGCATATGCTTGTGCCTTGCACCAATGTGGAGCCCTCTGAATGGAAACAGGAGGTCTCTGGTCACAGCGAGGCCTCAAAGATGGGGCATGGCAAAAGATGTGGCCCAAAAATGGCAGCTCGGCTGCTTTCTTTTTTTGCTTTATACCGTGCTAGTTGCCAGCGTTCCCTGATTCTCATGTGGGACTTCACTTGCCCGAGGACTGAGGCCTAAACACAGAAAGGAACCCGAGCTAATTCGGGTGTCAACCATGTTTTTAATCAACCATCATGATCCACTGAGCCCGGGGAATGGGATATACTTAAAAGAACGACTTGCAGACTTTCGAGATCCCTCCGCGGTGCAGGCTCTACACCATGCGCCGGGACACCAGCGACCCCGAGGTCAGTCAGGGGGAGGTTGGGCGAAGGACTGGGCGAAGTACTCCCTTGCAGAGGACTACATGGACCCCCAAAACCTCGAAATGACGGGTTGCTTCTCAGGTTTCATGTGATCTTTTTGCGAGGGGTGCCCTCAATCTACTGTAAGCAACTTCCCACCCACGCCTGCTTTGCTTAGGCCGTTCCCACTCCCACTTGGGTGGCCGTTCACACGGAAGATACCCATCAGCCTAATACACCGTCTCTGCTTCCTCAATGAAGGTGCGATGTTCCATGGATACCAAGAAGTGCACGCTTGCCTAGGTGTTTGCCATTGATCAATCCCTTCAGAATAAGAAACAGTGTACCTGGACCGTCCAAGCCTGGGATGCAATGGAGATCCACCAGTCGTCATGCGGGGGCTTCTAGCTTTGGGGGCCCTTTGGTAACGAACATCGCCCGTCCTAAGGTCGCCCATCCCAGTCTTGGTCGCCGACCAGGGTCCCGAACGTTCTCAACCTCTCAACCTCTGATCACCTGGGATCTGGTGAACCGCTTCAGCTGCCTCAAGCCCCCTGGGTCCAACCCCGGTCGTTTCTTGCAGCCGGCGTGGAGTGGCGTTGCTGATCGGAGATGCGAGTGAGTGGCGGGTGCTGCCAGGAAAGCGCCACGCTGCATGAAGCAAGCTCACAGCTGGGAACCCCCAGCAGACGTGGGTGCAGTCATCGCTAGTGTCATGTGAGTCGATTTTCTGTAGTGTCGTGTGTGTGATCTTTTTTGGGGGTGGGAAGGTCAGAGGTTATTCGAAGTGCCGGCATCCAACGCCAAAAGATTGGCCTAAGGGCATTGGAAGTATAGAGTGATTCTGAGATTCTGGTGACTCGCCAATGGGTTTCACCAAAGAAAGTGGGAGGAGGCAGTGGCTCGCGCACTCTCTCAGACGTCCTCGAGAGGCAGTTTCGACCAGACCTGAGGGGGCTTTCTGGCCAGACCAGACCTTTCACTTCTACATGGCTTTGGTAGGTATACTCCGAGCCTTCAAGCTAGCTTGAATGAGACTATAGCTACACTCCCTGGAATCATGGCGGTGGAAGATGGTTTTTTGGACCGTTTTTTCCGCCTTTTTCCTCTACAAATAGGTGATGAACTCCACTTCCATGATGAAACTAGGGAGTGCATTGGTGCCAACGCCTGGGCGGCAGTTCTACATACGTCTCCGGGGGGATCTTTCGCCTCGGCAGTGGGACGACCGTGTCACTCGCGCCCAATCTTCAGTTCAACAACACGGTTTTCCCGTGTGGCCGCACTGGCAGGGGCAATTCGGAGAGTAGTGTTGGAAGAAGTTCGACTTTCATGAAGTTCCAGATGGCTGAGTTTTGTGGGAGAAGTGCTTGCTCTTGGGGAGAGCAGGTTGCCCCACGCTACATACAATTCAGATCTATGGCAAGTCTACAATGATTAGTCGATAGAACCTGGAGCATGTCAACCCCCAAGGTGAAACGGATCCAAATTGGGACACATTCCACGCGGTCGAATTATTCAAATTTACTCTTCAGCGTGGATCATTTGGAAGGGAACTGCACCCCGGTCACCACCGAAAACCCGATGGCGCTTCCATGATCCATGTCTCTCGAATTCCCCTCGGTCTTCGCCCCGAGGGATTGGCAGCTCAGTGAGGGTCCAGACTTGACTCCGGTCATGGTCGCACCTGGGGCAGCAGCAGTCGGGACGGACGGTCGCCCCGCCAGGTTTTTGGTCGAATGCTGCTTTTCTTGAAAGGGAGTGCATGAATGCACCAACTCTGTTTTCTTTTCCAGGGCTGTCAGCTTCTTGACTTGACAATTCCCAGATTTTCCATGATGCTCGGATCTGGTTGCCGCAGAAAAACCATCAATAAAAGTTCACCATATATCCACCACTCGCGACTAAAGATTTCAGCCCACCAGACATCAACGTTTTTCCATGCGTAAAGTGCCTCGTCAAACGCCTTATATAAGTTGGGCTTTCATGATGCTCCCTGACCATCTCGACATATGCTCAGTGACGGACTCAGCCTTTTCTAGGATTTTAGGCCTTGAACGATCGAATTGCGAAGCGGTTTGGTCTTTCCGAAATGATCCCTGGCCCATAATGGCTTGTGGATGCTTGGTCCTTTTTCCAAGGGGCTCCCTTTACGGCGCTGGGTCGGATGTAGCGATTTCCGTTGGCCTCGTCCCAAGGCGCACACGGATCGCTGTCTGGTAGCCGGCGCCCTTGGATGCCGTTGTTTTTTTCTTTTCGTCATGTTTTGGTGTCAGTGTGGAGGCTGGTTGGAGGCGATTGTTAGGTTGGAGGCCATCGCTAGTAGGTTGGAGGCCATCGCTCTCAGGTTGGGCGTTTGGGGCGTTCAAACAAATGTCGAAGATGTTCAAGATACATGGAAGGGGGGCACCTGAGCCAAAAGCTCCGTGCCAGACGATACGCCTGAGTCAGAAAGTGGCAGAACAGGGGTGGCAAACACCATGCTGAGTTGAGGATGTTCCAGTGCATGTCGTAGCTCCATCTGGGTCGAATCAGTCTCTCTGCACACCCCGCACGCCCGAAAGAAAGCGGGGGTTTCCTCGGTCCGAGGCATAGATGGCCTTTTACGATTGCTTGATGACTAGAGTCTAGAGGGGAGGGGATCACCTCCCGAATGTACCAATGCGTCTGAGGTCTTGGACTCGAAGATGGAGCTTCATGTGCGGCAAGATGACGGGAGCGTCCAGGCGATTCTGCGGCGATTCTTCTGGCGCGCTGCGCGAGTGCCGGGCGCGAGCCGGGCGGACGTGTTGACCGGTGGCCACCCGGGTGGAAAACTGGGGCAAGGCAATGGGCTCGGCCCTGGGTTTAGAGGTGGCCGCTGACACAGGTTAAGTCGTGTTCTCGTGCCATTGGTTAAGTATTGTTTTGATGAGTTGTGCTTCAACTCATCATTCATCAGCGCATGACGCCATGTCACCAACTCCCTGACTGTGGGAAGCACCTGCCTTTACATGGACATCTTTAAACTGGCAGGCAGTATGGATATAAATCGCTGTCTCTAAACGTGATCTGGCCACAGTGGGGCGATCCCCTTCCACCACTTCCCATGCCAGAGAATCGCCCGCGCATGGTGGGTAAAACTGCCAGGATGAGTGTTTGCCGGAGGAGGCTGGTCCGACTGGTCTTGCGCTGGGCATGGCAGGTCGCTTCAAAGGCCGTTGCAGAAAGGGTTTGAATTCCAACCTTCAAGCAGTAGGTGTCTTTGACCACATCATGCAGGACTCCAGGGTGTTATATACATGGTGCCATCATGTGCACACTTGTCTGGGTTGCTTGCGGGGAAGATTTCTGGCACCCATTTTTCGACACAACCCTCCGGCTGCTGCCTGGTGGTGCGCGATCTTCAAGTCTCCTGTTACACAGGTTTTTTGATCGTCCACCCCCATGGCGGCCCCAACGTCCGGCCGCTGCCTGGCGCCCTTCCCCCGGCTTGTCACCCTCGGCAGGTGGTGGTGTCTGCCTTGGTAGAGGCGCCAGCGGTGGTTTTCAGATTGTTCGCCGGTGAGCGGTGAGGGGATTTGTGGAGCCTAGTAGGCCTAGGGATGGTGTTTGACCCCAACCAATGGGTTTTGGTCTAGTTTCCTTGTTTGAGAGGGGTCGAACTGGGAGGTCTCCTTGCTTGAATGCACACCCGGGTAGCAACATTCAGGTCAACCCCTCAAATATTTCAGATCAGAGTTTCAGTCCAAGATTGTCATTCACGTTGAGTGGGGCTGTGTCAGAGCCAACAGACCACTGTCTGCAAGTCCAGCACCAGGCAGACAGCACACCACGCTGACTATCTCCAAGTAAAACCCGAGTGAGTTGATAGGGAAACATGATGAAACATGATCATCATTTCAGCAAACCCACCGGGATGTTCGAAAAAGAAACGAGTTCCATTGGAGCAACCGGCTGGTCCTGAAACTCTTGCGACCACAAGGTCTCCCTGCCTCGGCCTTTAAGCGGACACCGGGTGGCCATGGTGGCGTGCTCCTCAGCCGTCGGGGTGGGGTGGAAGGGCGGCCCGGGTGCCCCTCACATCTCATCACAGGTGTGATTGAAATCGGAAGGCCTCAGCATTTCCCTGGTGAAAGACACAGAATCATTGCTTGGAGGGCTCCTTGATCGAGTGGTCACACAGACAGTGAAGACTCTGAAGACGAGGTCTTCTCGATGTCCAAGACAGCTTCGAGATTACTGCGTATCCGTGGGTGACACATGTATAAAAGTATGTACATATGTATTCAAGTCATTTTTAATATACTGTATATATATATATATACATATCCTGACTGAACTATACCAACTTTGAGGAGGAGGGTGGCACAAACTTGCATTTCTGAGAGCCACCATCTCATGAAGCCACCGCGAGAATTCGCCCGTCAGACTGGTGTGGGTATCGGGTGAAAGAAGCTGTCCTTAGATACATCGTGATTGCACGTTCATGGGAGTTTTCATTATGGAGGTCTCCACTTTTCTCAGATTCTTTGAAGACTGAACCATCTCTTCCACCATCCAATGGGTGTCCAATGGACTACCCTACACTACTTAGAGATCTCTAGCGAGGGCACCCACTGGATGGTCCATCTCCTTGTTCCAACTAGCCGCTCCTGCCGCTGCTACCACTTTCAGACCCCAGCCGCTCCTGCCGCTGCCGCTCCCCAAGCAAAACTGGCCCACCGGGCATCACACCCCGCGCGCACGTGCG